TGAAAGGGGAATTTCCCCAGACAATTTTATAAATACGAATAAAAGCGAAACCATCAAAGAGCAAATCAGCAAGAAAAGCTACGGCAACTTTGACTCACAAACCAAGCCATAAGAAGCCAAAAAAGACAAAGAGAAATGCACCAAAAAGTAAATTAAAGCAAGCCAAAAAATAAATGGAGCAAGTCACCAACATCTTCCAGAACCGAAAACCTTCATCATCCACTTGATCACACGTCATTGATTCTCGTGAGTTTCTTCCTTGTCTTCCACGCCATTCTTTGAAGGATCTGTATCTTGATCTCAGCCACAACTTTGTCTCCAGCATGGTAGTAATTGTCAAAGAACTTTCCGTTCCTTTCCCTCCATATATGGTATACCGTAGCCGATATACCAAGTTTTTGAACCGTAGACCATAATTTCCACCTTTGTGATAATCCCTTATTAAGGATATCCTCTCATTTGTTCGGACAATTCTTTATCCCGACTTCCTTTTTAATTACCTCCCAAATACTACTCGAGTAGATGCATTCAAAAAATAAGTGATTGTGTATTTCAGTCACTAATTTACAGAAAACACATTTCAAATCAGGAGGTTCATGCTTCCATTGGCTAATGCGATCTTGGGTTGGTAATCGACTCTGACAAGCCATCCACATGCAAAGAGCATGTTTAGGAATGTATGCTTTATTCCATACCACCTTGTACCAATGCACAATCGGCCCTACTTCTTGCAAAGTTTGCCACGCCACCTTCACCTCAAAATGTATCCGATTATGTTTAGTGTCAAGCCATCTAACCGTATCCTCTAGATGACTAGGAGATGGTATCTTAATATTTTGCAGCTGGGGATATCGTTGAATCCATTCAACAGGCCAATCATTACCAAACCTTTGCATTAGATCATATACCGTAGAGTTATTATGAAAGTCATGACCATTTATGAATCTGTAAGACAACAAGTGAATAAGGGGACCAAAATCACTCCACCTGTCTTCCCAAGCGTGCGTGGATATACCATTACCCACATTAGAAATGAAAAAACGTCTGCAATAAGGTCTTAACTCTAAAAGGTTCCGGACAAGCCATGACCATTCATTCCTCTTCTTGATGATCCAAAAATTTCTTCCCCGAATACAATGAGAATGAATCCAAGAGACCCACATGGTATTTCTTCTAATAAGAATATCCCAAATATATTTAAAAAGCAAACACCGATTCCAAAGTGCTAGTCTTTTCATACCAAGTCCACCATTTTTTATAGGTAAGCAAACCCTATCCCAAGATACTCGACATTTTCCCAGCTCACCCTCCGCTTTATTCCATAAAAAATTACGGAACAACTGTTCAATTTCATGGATTGTGGCTGCCGGTACTAGAAATACCGACATCCAAAATGTTTGCATAGAGAGAAGAACAGAGATGATGAGCTGTCGTCTACCCCCATAAGAAAGAAATTTGTTTTTCCAGTTCAACAAGTGAGATTTAAGCTTAATCACAAGAGGGTTGAAGTCACGTACCTTCATTCTAACTGGAGAGAGAGAGGAACTCCAAGGTAGCGAATAGGAAATACCCCCGGACGAAAAGGAAGGCAGTTGCTAATGATATTTTGAACATCTAACCCCACATTCCCGAAAAACACTTCACTTTTTTCAAGACTCGGTGACAAACCCGAACGTTCCTCAAACATTTGGAGAGCTCGTTTTATCACTTCAACTGATGTAGCATCCCCCCGAGAAAAGATAAAAAGATCATCCACAAAACATAAATGTGTCAACTCGATATCAGCACATCCTTGATGGTACGCAAAATTCACCTCTTCCTCAATACATTTTCTTAAAATCATCGACAATCCTTCCATAACCACCGTGAACAAGTAAGGAGATAAATGATCCCCTTGTCGAAGTCCCCGCTTTCCATGAAAGAAACCCTCCGGCTGTCCATTAACACAAATAGAGAAAGTTGGCGATGAGATTAGAGACTTTATCCAATTAAGCATAAYTGGATGAAATCCCATTCCCTTTAGCATCCCAAGAAAATACTGCCAGTCAACTGTATCATAAGCTTTCCGTATATCAATCTTAAATGCACACTTTGGCGCCCCCTGGAGTTTCTGGTAACCTGCTACAAGCTCATGCGCCATTAGAATATTATCAGTTATCTGTCGTCCAGGAATGAACGCAGATTGAGCCTTGCTAATRAGAACATCCAATGAGCCTTTCATCCTGTCAGCAATAATTTTACTGATACATTTAAGCAACACATTACAACAGGCGATGGGTCGATAATCAGTTATACATGAAGCATTAGGAACCTTCGGAACGAGGCAAAGCAAARTATGATTCAACTGGTACTCTAAATTTCCTGAGTAGAAGAAATTATGTACCGCAATAAGAACATCCCTACCAACCACACTCCAAGCCGCCTTAAAGAACTTTGACGAGAACCCATCAGGACCCGGAGCCTTGTCATTCCCAATATCAAAAAGAGCATTCTGTATTTCCATATATGTAATAGGTCTGATTAAATGCAGAGAGTTCGATAAAGATAAAGAGTGAGCAAAAGAACAATCCTCCATAGAAGGATGAACCAACGTATTAGAAGCACCTATAATACCTTCGAAATGATTAACAAATGCTTTTGGAACATCGTGATGTTCAAAAACAGTACCAAAAGAATCCATAATAGTAGCAATATGGCTCCTATTACGCTTCTTTCTCATGGCATGAAAGAATAACTTAGAGTTACCATCCCCTTCATTTAACCAAGAAATCTTTGCTTTTTGTCGAACCATTTCCAATTGATCATTCCTGGCTTTTTGATATGCTAACAAGAGGTGAGCAATGTCCTCTTTCAGCATATCATTAAACGGATCTAGATCACAAGGCAATTGAGCAACATCTAGTTCCGTCTTTAAAGAAACCACCTTCTTATCCAGACATCCATATGAATTTCTAAGCCGACGGCAAACCCCTTTCATCTCTTGCATTTTTCGTAGCACTTTCTTCATATATGACCCTTTCTGAGGTTTCATCCACACACCCTCCACGGATTTAAGGAAATCCACATTGGTTCAAAGAAAACCGAGGCGTCCCCAAATCTGTCAATGAACGATAAGTTTCCCAAAATACGATCTAATTTACGCTTTATACCTTCTCCCCCAGAAGGTTTCTGCGTCCAAGTATATTGGCACCCCTGGTACGTGATATCAAAAAGCTCTACCTCTTCCAGACAAAGATGAAACTCCTCCATATCCGAGTTACGTCTAGAWGATCCACCCAACCCATCATGAGGGAAAAGCATTGAATTAAAATCACCCATCACAATCCAAGCTTTCCTATGAGTAAAAGCATTGAATTTTCCAATATCCCGCCAAAGATCCCTCCTTTCCACTCCCGTGTTACATCCATAAATAAATGTAATAAATATGGGCTCAGGATGACCAATAATCCGAATTTCACAATGTACATATTGGAAATGCTGCTCAATCATTATCAAGGACAAAACAGACGGGTCCCATGCAATAATAAGACGAATACCTTGATCACACATTAAACCATTTGTGATCCAACTCCATCTACCAAACACTCTACCACATACATCTCCCTGATGACTTGGTAGAACTTTAGACTCAATGATAGCTGGTTATATGTATATAGCTGGTTATATGTATTAATATATTATATGTAGTTTTCATTTATTCTATTATCTATACTATATTATAAAACATTTGATAAAAACTCTTAAAAACCGTTTTTTATGCATGAAGTATCGTTTATTGATGCATATTACTTAAAATTTACGATTACAAATAATTTTACGTAAGTACAACTTATTAGAGCTCCATTTTTAAATTTGTGTCACTAACTGCAGATAAACATAATCAAATACAGAATAAACATTTATATTAAATATAGAAAATCTAAAATATGATTAAGATAATCGTTGAGTTTTAACATAATGTTTAATTATTATCTTTATAAAAAATTATATTATTAAACCATAAATAAATTATTTTGACGCTGAACAACAAAGTTTTATTTTGGAAAAACACCTATTAAATCTAAATTAAATTATAATAAAAAATTGAATAAAAAAAGTTACACCCAAAAAACGAGAACTATTAAATTAGTTAATTTGATATTAATATTGATTTAATTTTTTCAAAATTTTATGACATCTCTCCAAATTTATATTTCATCCAAAAATAAAAACATTATCGTTTTGTCAAAACCACATAAAATCGTACTATATCAATAGAAACAAATAATAAAAACTAAACATTAAAAAGAAGATTTATCTTGCTGCATTGCACGAGTACCCTTCTAGTATATATTAATATATATATATATATATACACACACACACACATATACATTATCTCTTATATACTATTATTTTAAGTTATATTATATAAATGCACATATTTTACAACTCATGTTGATCATTTTTTACAACTGAAAAACCCTTAGACGTAGTTATTCGAACCGTTATCATTTGTTGACTTGAATAAAATAAGTTATTAGGAACCAGCGAGACACGATTCTTTCTTCAACAATAATTATAATGCACATCTATATATTAATTATTTTTTATGTTTTATTTTTATAATTTTATAATTATTTAAAAAAATAATAGTAATGTTTATATTAGTAGATATATTTTATTTTTAAATAAAAGTTAATTTTTTGTATA